AGGATGCTGTCTGACTCAGAATTTCCTCAGTATTCCAAATATGTAAAAATATATAGGGCATTCCATTTAAAAATCGAAAGTTGGTATCATTTCCGGCAAAACCGGAAGTACAAAAAATTAATTTTGTACTCTTATTAGTGGCATTTTATATCCTAATTAACCGTGCTAAATTTCATGTGTCTATCTTAATAAATAAAAAAGTTACTGGGGTGCGCCTATTCAAAGATACACCCTATATTTAGATTTGTTATTCCTGGGAATTTTGTTATAACAACAGGTCTTTTTTAAATATTTTGAGAACCGCTCCTTTTTCCAATTTTTAAATTTCCAAGACAATTTTTGAAAGCGAGTTATAGGTAAGCCAATCAGATCTGGCCATTTTCATTATTTATTATTTTCCGAAAATAGTATAAGGTAACAAAAGCCTTTATATTGAATGTTAATCAAAATTCTATAAATTAAAGCGGTGAAGCATTTTTCACCTCTTTTCCGGCAATTAAATTAGAAGTAAAATTTGTAATAAATCCATGCATTTTTTTACGAACTATTTATATTTTTTTCAATTATATCTATGAACAGTTTAGCTAACACTTAAGTGTCAATTGACATAACCAAACATTTTTACGTAAGTATACTTCTTTATAAACAAGTGCTTAACAGTAATTTACTGACGTTTAAAACGTCCTGCCCTTTAAGCGATTTATGGTGGGTTTATGCAGACTTAAGACTTAAAACTTAACATTTAAGACTTAAGAATTAAAAATTAAGCGAAAATTGTGGCGTTCATGCAGCATTTATCTTAAGACTTAAAACTTAAGGAGTAACCAATCAAAATCGATAAAAATATCACGTGGTATCAAGTTGGTACTACCAACACTAAAATGCCAATTAACATTAAAATTTTACCGTTGTGTTTTGCGAATGCGTATATTTTTTTTTATCAACGTTTTTTATAATCTGTGTTTACTAGTTTAATCTAAAATGGATCCAAACTATCTATCATTTTAGCACAGTAATTTCAAGAAAAACATGAAACACGAATTTTTAAATTTTCAGTTACAACAACCATAGAAAAAGAAACAGTTTAATTTAAAATTCCCTAGTTAACGCTTGCGCAAATGCGATTTCATGTAAGAATTAAAAATTAAGACTTAAGAAAGATAAAAGTTTATTATCTTTCAAGGTCATTTTTCTTAGTTCTTAAATGTTAAGTCTTAAGTCTTAAGTCTTAAATGGTGCATAAACGACCTTAAAGGAAATCAATGAAATAACCTAACTTTTAACTTCTTAATTGTTAAATGTTAAGTCTTAAGTCTTAAGTTTTAAGTCTGCATAAACCAGGCATTAGTGCGAAATAATTATTTCTTAAGATCTTCGAATCAGGCGCGTATACGCTATAGCTACCGCGGTATCAACCGTATCAATGATACGGGGCCCCTGGCTAGAGGGGGCCCCCGATTGGCTTCGACATGCGTAAGAAAAACCCACATGTTTAAAAAATTGAGACATGAAATTAAATAAAATAAATAAATAATATTATTGTTTATACTTCGATTTATTAAATTAGAATTTTCCTGAATACCCTCCTGTTCCAACGAGGCCGTGAACTCATACGAATTGTTTCTGCCCTCACCTTTCCGCTATGCGTTGTCTGCGGAGCCTTATGTTCTGTGTGCGGAGCAGTCTGCGCATATTGTTCTGTGCTCTGCGCCGCATACTGAGTCTGCTTTGAGTGTTATTATCATAGGTTATATTAATAGCAAATTAGAAATTATTATTAGCCTTACAATTATTTCAAATGACTTGCCTTTATTTTAAAATAGAAAACTTTTAAATGATGTTTAAGAACGGTAAATGTCTAAAACCAGAACAAATTTTAACATTTGCCTGTACATAAAAAGCTAGGTATACTATACATATATTAATTATTAAATTATAAAAAATTGGTAAATGCAAAAAAATGATAACCTAAAAAATATTTTTTGTTTGCCCAAAATAGACTTTGGGCGTGTTGTTTTGCCAGCAGCTTTTCCCGTATAAGGGCCCCTACCAGATTTTTGATACGGAATCTGAAGATATGTATCTTTTATGACCTAATTATTGTATGGACTGTAGATTGCCTATTTTATTGAAAAAGCTAAACAAAAATTTTTGCACGTTATAACATTTGGTGACCCAGTTACTTCAACCACACCACCACTTAAGGGTTAATTAATAGAAGCTTATTACCTAAAGTGTAAAAGCATCTTTTTATATACCGATCGGTTTGAACAGGGTCTCTATAGGGTATTTTAAGCAGGGGTTTTCTATATATATATATGCAGGGATGGTACGAACATTCTTCATATTAATTAATAATTATTACCAAAGTGCTAATATAAGTATTCTTTAATTTTCATTTGCATTTATTTACAGCTTAAATTCGTGGCACGCATTTTTACGCAGATAGGTAATAAAAAAAACTAAGTCATGTGTTTCATTGGCCCACACCTTTAAAATGTCAAATAATCTGAAGCCATATTTGACCCTCAGATTTGACTGGACTTATATTCCCAAAATATTTTGAGTGGGCAAAAAAACTCTATTAGTCCACTGGATGTTAAACAATTTTATGTGTACCTAGTTCATATGCAAAATTTATTAATAAAAAAATAGTTTGTTATATTATTGTTGTATTTTTAAAAATAGGAAGTAAATAAAAAAATGTTTTTATTTTATACTTTATTACAAACATTTATAAAATATCAATATAAGGTGTAGAACAATATAATATTTAAAATCATAATACACATCTATACCTAAATGATTTTTGTGGTTTGGGTAAAGTTGATATGTTTAAGAATTAAAATAAATCACCCAAATTCTTAAATAACATGCTATTACTTAATGTACTTAGTAAGTGCATTTGGTCCATATTGACTAGCTAAAAATACTATTCAATGTATTAATTAACTACAAATGATTATTAATACCTCTTTTAATTTTATATTTTGGTAGGTACAACATTGTATTACATTTTTAGTTTTTAAATACCATTAAAAAATATTAAAATTAACATTTAAATTTTAGTTGGACTATTTTTCAATAAGCATTTGTTACTTTTTGAAAATTGAATTAATAAATCCTTCATTAATACCTGCGGTATTGTTTATTGCAGTATTTTTAATTGTGGGTACCTACCTATATTATAAAAAATTATTCATTTTTTAAAGAATCATTTGTAGCCCAATTAATACCATCTTGAGGTAATTCACTAACTATATAGGGACTAAGCCAAGTAAGGTACCACCTGTCCCCCATAAGGTCCCTTATATTATTCAATGTCCCTCTGTCATAAACATGCATTTTTACATCTCTCTCTTTTGTTGTTCGGGCAAGCATTAATTGGTTGTAGCCATGATAATAAACTAACACACCAGAAAAAATAGCTGCTGCCAATACAATAAAGCAAATCACAACATACCCTTGTTGCGTAGAATATGTCATAAAAAAAACGGCAAAAGGAAACACAACTTTTAAAAAAGTATTAAACGAAAAATCAAATGATACAGTACTATAAAGATACATAGCATTTAAAATTGAAGCATAAGTTGTGCCAATAAATAAGTAAAACACTAACATGTAAAAATATCTGAAATTAAAATGACCAACACAATAACTTATAAATTTACAGTGATGATCCCTTCTCAGAATACAAATGTTACATGTTTCACAATGCCATGATCGTGGAGGAGTCACACATTCACATACAGAGCATAATTTCCAATTTATTCCTTTTGGCACAGAAGGTAATACTCTCCCTTTTATACTTGAGTTGCATAATTGTAGTGCCATGTAGTTCCCAGCAACGTTCCAAAGTATGTAAGTTCCCAACGAAACATGAAAAATATATGAAAAACTCCATGGGGCAAAAAACGTCGGTACCACAACGAAAACTTCAAAATAAAACACCACTGGTATCATGAACATAAAGAATAATGTTGCTATAGCATCTGTCATTCGTTTTGGAAGAATATTCTTTCTTAGAAGCATATTAAATCGGCCAATTTAATAAATTAACCTAAAAATGTGACGTGATAAATCGTCTGTCAAATGTTAAATTGACTTTCTTTTTCTCTGACAGCAAGTAAACAAATATTATAATTATAAAAAATTAGATAATTAAAGATTAATATTAGATTTAATATTTTTCTATTGGTTAACCCTTATTATTATTTATTAATATTTATTAAGAAAAAAGGATCACATACTTCCATACTGTGTGGAATCCACACAGTATGGAAGTATGTGAAAAGGATATTTAGTCGCGACACCTATTTATACACCAGAGTTGCCACTGGCAACTTGCCAGATATATTTTCACTGATGTCGCCAGTAGATGGAGAAACGGTCGCCAAAAAATCGCCACTCCCCCCATGAAAAATTAACAAACACAATATATCAAAAAAATATTTCTTAAAAAAAACAAAATAAAATTATATAAAAATAAATTATTAAAATTCTGAAATAGGTATAGGGTGATCCCCTATAATGTCGGTTGACTTTAGCAGACATGACAATATGATAAAATATATAAATTAAATCTAATATATTGGCGTAAAATCACAGATAAAATACAATGCATCCGCTTCCCCATATAGGATAGATAGGTTAGGTTAATAAGTCGTCAGGCGTTGTTGCCAACAACTTGTTAGACGTTGGGCACTGTTTCCAAATCTGTAAAAATGTTAGAGTGTTTAAGGTTACTACTTACTACCAATAGATGGCGAGTATGGGTAATATAAATATAAATTTAAAAGAACGCTTGACACGTTCAAATTTTTGCAAAATGTTATTAAATATTTTAGCATAAGACTCGAGTCCATATAAAATCGCCACCAAAATTTAAAAAATCGCCACAATTGTCGCCAGTCGCCCTGTGAAATTTTTGTCGCCATTAAGGAAGGTTGTGTCGCCACTTTGGCGATAAATCGCCACATCTGGTAACACTGTTATACACAGCTAAAGGAAGCACATTTCAACAGGTTCCTGTAATGTTATTGTTGTGACAACGTCTCCTGTCATTATTTATTCATTCTCTAACCTATTTTGTATTCATTTCAGTGGTGACAGTTCTGTAAACGGGTATCGTCGTGTGCAGTGTTTATATCGGTTATAATACATGTATTGTTAAGTGAAAATGCCACCAAATTTGTACCAAAGTGCATAAGTTATCGTGTGTATTATGTGTTTTTAATATTCTTATGAGATTGTCATGGGTTCCAGATTAAGGTAATTTGAAACTATATTGTTTATGTAGTAGGTAATTGTAATTGTTGTAATGATTGCTATTATTTTCGTGTATGATTATCTAGCGCATAAAGCTATAGTATGTTTTATAGTATAGTTATGTTCTGTGGTATAGTTAGTACCTACAACTTTAACAGGTTGTACCTATGTCATCAGGGAAGAAAAACATTTCCATAAATTTTGCGATACGGGGTGTTTACGTAAATGTACAAAATATTTATCAATATATTTTTAACACCCTGTATCTTTACAATAAAACTATATAGAAAAATAAAAGAAATTATGCCACCTGTTAAAGTTATGCCCGAGGGGGTAACAACTGAACCAAAATTTGTACATGTATTGCGCATTACGTGCCTTTTTTATAGTAATACCAGTAATACCAGTGTAATGTCAGTAATTCCAGTGTAATGCCAGTAATTTCAGTATAATGCCAGTAATTCCAGTGTAATACCAGTAATTCCAGTGTAATGCCAGTAATTCCAGTGTAATGCTAGTAATTTCATACATTTTTGTTGGAAGAAAATAATATAAAAATAAAAGAAATCTTGACCATTCTTAATAAAATAAAAAAAATGCATAAATGTTATATTATGATAACATATTGTGGCAACATCCATGAAGGGAACGCACTCGGGAACGCATTATCTTCACAGAATATTTATATGAAACAAAATATAATATACAGTTTGGACATATTTATTATTTTCTCTTATCACATATATACAGGGTCCGGCATCACAATTGAACGGTTTTGAAAAGGCTGCTATGGAAATACTATTGATTTGGTATATGTCAAATAGTGACAGACTTATACCTTATTGCCGAAGGTTTTGTGTGCAATGTCAAACTGGCCGGTTAATCAACGGATATTTGCTGTAAATTCGTTTACCTTGACCCAGTTCTTCGTATACAAACGCAGAGACGCTTTCGTCGTGAATATAATTTTCAAATGCGTCCCATAAAAAAATGCCATTTTGAGATGGGTAAGAGATTTTAACGAAAAAGGCAGTGTAAAATCAAAATTTGCCGCTGGAACTCGTACAGTTTGTACACAAGAAAATATTGGAAGAGTCAGAGAAGCGTTTCAGCGGCACTCGATTGCTCTATACATTTCAGACCGAAGTTTGCGACGAATGTTACATCTGGATTTAAAACTCCATCAAAAAAACCGACAGTCCAGAGGCTAAATCCCATTGATAAAGTCAATCGACTCAATTTCTGCACACAATTTTTAATTGCCATTGTACACGAAACTTTCGGCAATAAGGAACAAGTCTGTCACTATTTGACATATCGCACATGGGCGACAACAGTGTCATAAGTAGTAAAACCATAATTCCGATATAAGTTAACGTAAAAGATTTTTGAATAATAAAATTCTGACATTTTTGTAAAATTATATTAACTTACACTATAATTTAATATAATTTTACAAAAATGTCAGAATTTTATTATTCAAAAATCTTTTACGTTAACTTATCTCGGAATTATGGTTTTACTACTTATGACACTGTTGTCGCCCATGTGCGATATATTAAATCAATATGTAGTATTTCCATAGCAGCCACGAAACTTTCAGCAATAAGGTACAAGTCTGTCACTATTTGACATATATCAAATCAAAAGTATTTCCATAGCAGCATTAAATCAACCGAAACTCGAAATCAACCAAAAAATGGATACTTTTTTGTATACATTGTGGTTTTACTGTAATTTAATACGTTTTGTTTTAATTTTTTAAAGAATTTGTCAAAATGACAAATGTCATGAAATCTTATAATCTAAAATTATTTAAAGCAGAAATGCCAGTTTTCGATTTAAAATACAAAAATCTTAGGCCCGTATGGATATTTAGCTTTTAATACGGCCTTGTTTTTGTCAATCACGTGAACAGCGTCTACATTAAGTTCTCGTTAAATAAAAATACACTTCATCGTGGGTAGAAACGCTTCTTAAAAAATTTCAGGAAATTATTGAGAAAAAAATGCTTCAAAAGACAAAGTTTGTGTTTTAAGGAGAACGTGGTTCTTGGGGTAATTCCCTTTCTTAGCAAATGTTCTAAATGATGAGCAAAAACTAAATATCTTAGTAAAATTAAAAATACCTATAAATGATTTTATTTCACGTACCTCAAGCTTAAATTTAAATACCTAACTGTCTGTTAAATTTAAATACCTAACTGTCTGCTAACTAACTAACTAACTAACTTCTAAACAAACACTCCAATTCACAACCACAAAATTCAACCTTAAAATACCAGCGTAATGCCGTAATTCGTACGTAATGCCGTGAAATTTTTAAGTAATGCAATGTAATGCCGCCTAATACCAGAGTAATACTGCGGAATGCCAACATAATGCCACATAATGCCGGTAATGTCATGTAATGCCGCCGTAATGCGGGGTAATGCATCACAATTTGTACATGTATTGCCAGCAGTTGTTACCCCCTCGGTTATGCCCTGTACATTGTTTTTTAGACAATATTTTTATTTACAGGGAGGATGCAAAACACTTCTTTGAATGTTTTTGTGAAGTAGTGCCACCAACAAATGATAAAAATGCATGGATTATCCAGCAATTCCCGGAAAAATACAAGGACAATGAGGTCCTAAAGGCAGTTCCAAATTTTGCATATCCTTACAAATTTGAAAAGTAAGCCACAGGAGAGTTTTAATAATGTTACATATATCTAAAAATATATATATTTACAGCAATGTCATTCAACATTATTCTTTTGTCCTAACTGACTTGGAGTCAAAATGGACATTTGGATTTTGTCGACATGATCCAAAATCAGAAACTGCAATTGTTGTTTTAAGCTACCTGCCATGGCATCAAGCTTTTTACAAGTAGGTATTTTTTTCCTAACTATAATATTAATTATAATATCTTATTTACCATAATAAAAACAATTTGCTTGACATTTTTTTATGGGAAAACACTTTGTTTTAGTTATCCATTCAGTCAATTAAATTTTTATAATTACTATTTAATAATATAAATAATTCATTTTAACATTTACCCTTTTTATAAAGTAAAAACACAATTAATAAGAAAATTAAAAATTTATAATTTTTTTTAATGAAAATAATTTGCCACACAACAATTTCAACAAAACCTGGAAAACTATTTATTTATAACTTTTTTAGTTATTTATATAAACTTTTTTTAATGAGAAATTTGTGTGGCCTTTGCAGTGGTTTTTCGGAAAAACTTTTCACGGTGCTGTTCTGAGGGTGATTTTTGGACTTTCTGTGAAACCTAATTTTTTTTATATTCTTGTTAATTAGGTCATAACTAAGAATTTAAGAGCAAAATAAAAAAAAACTTACGGTTTGAATTGTTTTAATTGGCTGTTTATTAAAAATATTATGCACCCTTTCAATTATCCAATTAAAACTAGCGATTTAGTTTAAATATTTAATATTTGCATAACTAAAAAAAAAGGTTTTTACAATTTTTTTTTATATATTTTACTGTTTTGTTGCAATAAACGTTCAAACTTTTAATCTAACCTTTGACATATACATTTATGTTCCCTTAATTAATATATCCTTAAAGGTTGCCATGAAACTTAGATCTATTAAAAATTTATTTGACGTTTTGTAATGGAAAGGACCCGGTCTACGTTGTGTTTAATTAATTTACCCTTTAATACCTATATTTACCTTTAATTTGGCCTAGAATACGTCTAGCCCCGATTCGTCATAATAAAGTAGGAAGAGTGACAAACAATCAAACAAATATTTATAACCATCTTATTTATTTATATTAAAGAGAACAAAAGCAACTGCGGAAACCAATATTTCGTTTTCTACCCCTTTTTTAACAGTAAACTGCCACGGTCGTTGACCTGGCGCCTGGGTCGGTGTTTAAGCCGGAGGATTACGAGGAACCTGCCGAGAGTCATAAAATCGAGTCACAGTTACCCTGCTTTACGGGGGCTGATTATGGTAAAACCTTTTTTTTATTATAAAAGTCAAATCGATGAACGGGTGTACTTCGTTTCTCGATTTACCGTGGGCTTGGGCCTCTTTTATTGTTTATCTTGTTGGCGATCATTACGATCGAGTGTTGCCTATGTTTATATTTTTATTTTTTTTTTATTATTATTTTTTTTTTTTTTATTTTGAAGTAGGTATGTGTTTATTAGTACCTTTTCATCAGTCCATATATCAACACTAGGCTCTGCGGAAGTGTGTTAATATTTATGAAGTTTTCTTTTTATATTGGGAAGGATTGCCTTTAGTGGCTCTTTTATGTGGTTGCCTATAGCTTTTCGGTGGGAATTGTTTCAATGTTGGTTTTCGCATCGTTGGGTCTAGCCTTTTCCGCTGAGCCTACAGGATATCGGAAGGTACAGGAAGTATTGTCAATTTAATATTATCACACTCCCAGGTTGAACGCGATTAAACAGTATATTGACAGCCTTACAACAAGCGTTTAGTCCATGCAAGCAATTAATAATGTAAGGTGTCTATATACTTTTAAGAAAAATGTTATATTGACTTCCGGTGCAGATCATACCGTCAATATATGCCTGATGTGGTATTTACTTGGTGAAAAATGTAATAGTTTAACATCAGTAGTACTAGGGTGTTGTCACCTGATTTAACTGACTGTAGGTAGGTAGATATTCCCGATGCATTAATTTATTTATGAAATGGCTCTTACTCTCTTTACGTTGGGAAAACAATTACAATGTTAACATGTCTTGGCATACCTGTAGTTTCGGGTCTACTTGTTGATTACGATCCTCAAATGATTAATAATAAACTTAAATAAACTACTTGTTCACTGTTACTACACAACTACTAACAGGTGTCAGCACTCACGGCGATAGGCTTTGAAATTAAATGTCACTGCAATGAATTGATTGTCCAGCAGGTGGCAGCACATACACGCGGCGGGAAATTTAAACCAAGTTGAAGCGTTCGTACGATAGAGGGCGCGATGTCGCGGAGTCGGATTCAAATAAACAAGATGGCTACAACTGGCGTTACACACAAGTTTGAATTAGAGAACGCGTTTGAACGTCCCCACGCAACTAGAACTGGAAACTCACTGCCGAAATCGACTTAAGCGACTTTGGATACACCCCCTCTCATGTATCGTTCTTTGTCTTTCCCCAAAGTTGGAAAAAGTAAACCATATGTGTGACATGGCAAAATTAAGATAAAATAGTATTTTAACATTTTTAAGTGGAAAAGACATTTGGGATAGATATTTTTGCCGTCTAGTATCCCAGTCAAATACCTAATAATTTTAAGTGTGCCCTTAGTCAACTTTTGTACTTGATTGGTTTTTTTCGAAATATTGGTTTTTACAATAAAATATTTTAACAATTAGTATAGTACCGACTTCGGTACTACTTTAGAAAATAATACATACAAATTCCAGTTCAACTATTCGGTTTTTTTGACCGATAATAAGATTAGGTACTGAAAACTTAAAACTAAATTACAACAATTGTATTGAACATAACAATTAAAACTATTACTAACTTAATACTAAACAAGTTCACATTATTTAACTAACTAACTATTTAAATAACAAATTTTAATATTTACAATAAACTGTTTATTTATTATCTAACAAAAGGGCGTCCCGTAGAGAGGTATACCTCCGTGCAACCATAATACGGGGTGTACTCGTAGTACAGTGTAATAATATTTTCGTATAAGTTACCGATTTATTATTTATATAATTTAACTAATTTAATTTTGCATTTCAAACCCCGACACCCCCTGAATATTGAACTTGGAAGGGTCCCTTTTGCATTCCAAAGATCTTAAGTGGTTGTTTATCAGTATTGACATCACCAGATGTCATATATCTGTAGCAAACTTTACTTAGTTGGCTTATTTAGGCAAACAAAATTAAATATTATTTTGAAATTGAAAAATTGTATTACGGGTTTTATACTTTCAGGCGTTAGAGGAGTCCAACCTTTTCAGTTTGAATTGTCATTTTCAGTATACCTACGTATTCTATAATTTTTGTTCTCTCAGAATCGCAAGTTTTAATTGGATAATTGAAGGTGTGCATACATATTTTTAATAAACATCCAATTAAAACAAAATTAACCGTCAAATTTTTTTTATTTTGCTCTTAAAATTTTGGTTATGACCTAATTAACAAGAATATAAAAAAAATTTGGTTTCACAGAAAGTCCAAAAATCACCTCGCAGAACAGCACCGTGTTTTTCCTCTTATAATTATTATATATAATTATTATTATTAATATTGACTTCAAAGCTTGAAGTTCAAGCTGCAAATATCTCTAATGCGACAAAATAATACATAGGTATACATTTAAAATAGGTAAGCATTTACCAAAAAATTTCTCAAACAGGTCACCTGCTTAATTCCGTTGGTTTTTGCGTCTAATTTTTACGATTGATTAATATGTAGATTTTTTAAATTTAATTCGATAAAAAATTAGATGACGATTATATTCTTTCATAAATAATTGTTAAATAAAAATCCCAAAAATGTATGATCTTCATAGATTTGTAGATTAAAAAAAATCTATAGATGGGGCATTCCACGTTACTCGGTAATTTTTGTCCCGCCCGTCACAATTAAAAATTGTGAGTAAAAACCACAAGTTATAAAATTAATATTTTATAATATTATTTTTATTGTGCTTATAACTTATTAAAAGCATAATAAAACAATATTTTTAAATAAATTTTATAACGTGTAGTTTTTACTTACAATTTTTAATTGTGACGGGCGGGACAAAAATCCCCGACTAACGTGGAATGACACAGATGTAGATGTGTCACACATCATGTGTGTATAATGTTATGGACGAAGATGATATTGGACGTTAACTATAATGGTCAGTCAATAACGTGCATTTTTTTATATTTTTAATAAAACTTTTGAAAATTTGGTTGAGTTGGGTAGTTGGGTTTGTTGATTGGTTAATTGGTGTTGGTATTTACATTTGTCACTAATATTGTATTATTGAGTATGAGTATGAGTATAAGAGAAGTATAACCAGCCCCATTTCCTCTTGACTCTCGAACCCCGTACAGGCCTATGTTTACTTACGCCGATTTTTGTTCTTCCTCAGCAACTGCGAATGTCCATTGCGTTCCGTACTGTCCCCTATTTGGGGCTCGAGAGCGAGAGGCGAATAGTTTTAATTGCCATTCTCGGGTTCGCCGAGCCTATGCTATACGCTCAGTGGGGTATGGAGGAGGGACGGGAGGTGGTTTTTGGGGGACAATTACGCCGACTTAAAACTAAGTACGACGCGGAATCCCCCTAGACCAGTCGATTAGTATTACTCCAAACATTTGGGATTACCATTTGGAGTTGGGGAGTTGTTATTACGCTGCAGGGGTGTATTTTCCTAGTCGAGGTCTTCGTCTTGTTCATTATTGTAATTGTCCGTGTCAGATAGTTCCTGCACTTGGTAAAGTGTGTCAGTTGTTTTTTTATTTTGTTTTTATTGTTGCTCGGTTGCTCCCAACTGGTCTTGTTAATTTGTGAGAAGTGCATGTTTTGTGCTAACGTGTCATGAAATGTGAAGCATGGTCTCCCGACTTTTTTGTCTGTAAGATCTGGTTTAAGGGTGGCTTGTAGTATGTTGTTGCGTTGTCTTCGAGTGACGTGGGCCCAGTATTTTAATTAGGCTACTCTTACCCTTTTGGTAATGGTTTTTCCCATTAGCAGGTATTTTTTTTACTTTTAGTATAGTCTAATGTGTTTACAAATTCCATGGAGTTTGATTAGAGTGCTTTTTTTTACTTTGTTTATGTTTTCTTAGTTCATGAGTGTTATTTATGTCTTAAGTGTCAAATTTATTTGGTCTCGGTCTGTTGTACTTGAATTG